CTATCAAATTAATTAAACTAACACATAATTATATATTTCAAAAATAATTAAAATAATTTAATTATAAACTAATTTACTTAATTACCTACATATTTAATTCTTTTAAACAGTAATTTAATATTATAATTACGACCTATGGACTTAAATTAACAATTTAAAAACTCAATTAACTATCATATTAATTAAACTAACACATAATTATATATTTCAAAAAGAATTAAAATAATTCAATTGTAAACTAATGTACTTAATTAGTTACTCGTTTAATTCTTTTAAAAAATAATTTAATATTCTAATTACCAACTAATTGACTTAAATTAACAATTAAAAAACTAAATTTACTATTAAATTAATTAAACTAACATAAAATTATATATTTCAAAAAGAATTAAAATAATTTAACTATAAACTAATTTACTTAATTAACTACGTATTTAATTCTTTTAAACAATAATTTAATATTTGTCACGACCCTAGGAGTGGGTCATGATCGGTGTAAGAATCGAGGGACCGTGAAACCCACCTCGACTCAAGCAAATCTCGAATACTAAACTAAACTTCTTAAATCATGATCGAACTTATACTATAGTCCTTAAATCAATATTACTCAAATATCATTTCAATTAACAATATATTACAACTTAACAATTTATATTCCATAACTTCAACACAATTTGATAATTCAATGTTATTCTCATTTCAATATCCAAAATCAATGTTCATAATTAATATCTAACATAACACCCACAAGCTATAATTGTAGAGCTTCTAAAGTACAATAAAATCAAACATGGGTCCTAGGAATTACAATTAAAGTAAGTTGCACGATCGAATTATCGACTTCACGAAAAGTAGCCAAAAGAAAGCAATAAATAATCCCTCGGTATCCTATAAAACTGAAATAATGAGAGGTGAGCAATCAACGGCTCAATGAGTAAACAATATATAACACATTCAAAGGAAAAAAAATGGACTAAGGATGATATATTCAAATCCATTTCAAAATGCAATGATAATTTCTTCAAAACACATATATATCATAAAACACATATTACGTCACAATTGAAATGGCTCCAAACCATTTCGCATCAAATCGTCAAAGTGTTTATACATAAATATATTGTATTCATATGAAATCTTATAGATACATATATCATATTCATACGAAATCTTATAGATAGGTTTTGATACTCCCTTGGGGTAAATAATGTATCATTGAGTGCCAACACCCAAAGGTCACGCCTCCTGTGACTTGGTTTTCATATTTTGGCCAACACAAGGGCTAGCACTATACTTCTTCTACTAGTTGGAGCCTTGTACCATTGAGCTTAAAAGCTACACTCCCCGGTAGATAGGTTCCTTAAGGTCTCAAAAACATTTTTCGAAAACCAAACATACTTATATATTTTTTTAAACTAGTATTTCAAATACCATGCATGTATCTTCATAAATTATATGGATACTCAAAATAATGAATATAAAACATTCATTCAAATCCGAAATCACATATCAATTTCAATAACACATTCGTTAAACATATTCAAATCTCTTTTTAATTCACATCTTATAATTTTAATATGAAAACATTTCAAATATTATAAAGTATGATCCCATCTAAGTTTTACTAAAATGCTTCTAAATCATTCTTAAATCAATGATGCATGATGAATACAATCAAGGGAATATAAAACACAATTTGCTATACAATATCTACTCATAGTATAAATGACAAATCGAATGAATTTGAACATATCATGATGGTTGAGATGGAGTCACCCTCTATGAAAAATCTAGACTTAAAAAATGATGGAACGTCCATCAATGCCACACATCAAGGAATAACTTAAAACAATCAATTATTTTTTAAACAAGAATACAAGGTGATCAAAAAATAGAATTGATCGGAAGACTCAAATTGATAACATTAACTAAAGTCTAAACCTCTACAATAATTCTAATCTATGACTTAACTAAGTCCCATCATCATCAATTCTTAATTAAATCATGAATTTTCAATTCAAATATTTAATCAATCAATCCTTAATTAGATAATCAATTCTATCCTAATTCATCTAATAATTATTCCATTTATGTCTAATTATACTTTTTCGACTTAATTCTTCATTCTACATAATTTTTAAATTTTCAAATATTCATCATCTTCAACTTCTCAATTTCTCAAATTCACTCAATTTCACCTCAAATTAACTTCTTAATTCACATGTCCAAGACAATTAAACATTAGTCAAGAAACTATAATCACTTAGAATCATCTCTCCCCAAATGGATCTCAAAAACCTTAACCTTAATCTAAGCAATTCCTCAAGCAAATCACAATTCAAAGAAACTCCAATTCAATACCATCAACATTTATGCATGAGCATTCTAATCTAAAGATCAATTGATAAAAAAAATCTTACCTTTACACGTTGTCCTTTAACTCCTAAGTTCTTCCTAGCTCTTCAAGCGTCCCCGGCTCCAATCTAGCCAATCTTTACTTGAATCCTCTTACTTACGGTTTTCCTAAGCTAATTGAATAATGAATTAGCTTAGGAATTGAAGTTAGAATTTGGGAGAAATTTTAGGATAGAAAAATGGCATGAGAAAAGGAGAGAAGAAGAGAGGAAAATTCTAAAAAAGAGGCAGTTATTACCCCTATTTATACCGACCTCCTTTTTTTCGAGGCTATTACAATATTATAATTACCAACTAGTTGACTTAAATTAAAAAATAAAAAAATTAAATTAACTATCAAATTAATTAAACTAACACGTATTTATATATTTCAAAAAGATTAAAAAATTTTAATTTGAAACTAATTTACTAATTAACTATCTAATTAATTCTTCTAAACAATAATTTAATATTATAATTACCAACTAGTTGGCTTAAATTAACAATTAAAAAACTAAATTAACTACCAAATTAATTAAACTAACATGTAATTATATATTTCAAAAAAATTAAAATAATTTAATTGTAAAATAATTTACTTAATTAATTACCTAATTAATACTTTTAAACAATAATTAAATATTTTAATTACTTAAATTAATAATAAAAAAAATAAATTAACTACCAAATTAATTAAACTAACACATAATTATATATCTTAAACAGAATTAAAATAATTGAATTGTAAACTAATTTACTTAATTAACAACCTAATTAATTATTTTTAATAATATTTTAATATTTTAATTACTAACTAATTAACTTAATTTAATAATTAAAAGACTAAACTAACTACCAAATTAATTAAACTAACACATAATTATATATTTCAAAAAGAATTAAAATAATTTAATGTAAACTAATGTACTTAATTAAACACCTAAATAATTCTTTTAAACAATATTTTAATATTTTGATTACCAACTAATTGACTTAATTAAAAATTAAGAAACTAAATTAACTACCAAATTAATTAAACTAATATATAATTATATATTTTAAAAAAATTTAAATAATTTAATTATAAACCAATTTCTTAATTAACTACACGATGAATTCTTTTAAACAATATTTTAATATTTAATTACCAACTAATTGACTTAATTTAACTAATAGAAAAATTAATTTACACCTATATAATTAAACTAGCAAACAATTAATTTTTTAAAACAATTAAATAATTTATTTAACGACAAACTAAATTAATTTAATTAACATATTAATCACTTAATTAACACATAATTAATTAAACTAACACCTATTAAATTTTTTAAAATAATTAAATTATTTAAATATCAACAAATAAAATTAATTTAATTAACAACTAAATCAATATTATTTAACACAAAATTAAATAAACTAACATTTAAATAATTTTTTAACAAATAATTAAATTAATTAACAAATAACAAATTAACTATAACAATCAAATAAATTAAACTAACTAACAATTAACATATAAATAGTTAAACAATAACAATTAACAAATAAATTATTAAACAATAAATATAAAATTATTGAAATAAATGAAAAAAAAAAAACTTAATGAGTTACCAATTATACAAATGAAGGAGTAGAGATGGAGGAGAGCTACTATCATGACACTGTTCATGACAAAGAGGAGGGAAGGGGGTAGAGGATAAAAGGAGAGAAAGAAGAAGAAAAGAAAGGAGGAAAACGGTACGGATGGAGAGGAAGAAGGAAAAAAGAGAAAATGGGAGCTTGGAGGGAAGTTGTTGCCTTAATTAGATGGGAAATGGGGAAAGGGATGGAGCAATAGCTACTGTAAAGAAGAAGAAAGAGAGAAGATGAAGAAAAATGGGAAAAAAATCGAGGGTAGAAGGTTTTAGGGATTTTAACTTTTAGCAAAGGTTTTAAACACGTCGCTAATTATTATTTTAAAAAAAAAACCGCTTCCCCCAACGATTACAAATTACCAATTGTTTCTAAAAACTATCGCTAATTTCGGTGTTTAGCAATGGTTTTAAGCAAAAAAACCATCACTAAACCCAATATTTTTTGTATTTTTTTGTTAAATGATTTTAGCGACACTTTTATAAACCGTCGTTAAAAGCAATCGGTGAAAAAGGTTTTTTCGATGGTTTCTAAAAGCCATTGCAAAAATCTTTTTTTTTTTTTTGGAATTAGCGAGGGTTCAAATAAAACCCTTGCTAATTCCCAAAAAAAAGAAAAAGCCTTTTAGCAACAAGTTTTTTAATTCGTTGCTATAAAAGGTCAAATTTGACCGAAATAGCAACGGTTTTAAAAACCATTACTAAAACCATTTGTATGATAAAAAAATACCATTTGTATGATAAAAAAATAGCTATGGATTGCTTAAAATTATCGTTATTTCATGGTTTTAGTGACGGTTTTTAAAACCATCACTAATAAAGTTTTTCCTTGCTGTGTAACTCTCTAAATGGAAGGAACCTGGAACCTGTCCTTGATAGGGATGATCTTCTATAAATTGGGACCTACAAAGATTATCGTTTGCGCCACGAAATTACCAAGTGTTTTTTTCTTAGACCTTAGAGGAAGAAGAAATGGGGTTTAACATTGGATCAGTTCTTATAATGGCAGGAATGGTATCATGCCTTATCTCTGTTGCGCATGCTGCGCAAGGAATTGCCGTTTTCTATGGGCCTCGTTATACTCGTAAGTTATAAATCTCATGATTCCCTGAACTCTGTTTGCATCTATTGTCACTAAGTTCATATCTGAGATGCTAATTACCACAAGGGTTTCTCTTCCTTTATCTTTCTATTTAGAAATTCTTGTGCACTACTAGTACATATTGTCTTCACAGTATATTACAGGTTTCTTACACAAGTCCTTGATGGTTATCTAGGTCTTGTGGCAAATTAAGGCCTTAATATTCGACCATGAATGGTTACTAATCAATTTTGCGTGTACCCTTCGAATTTTTGTAGCCTCCAAGTGCTATGGGAATACGAACAGCGGAGTTATGGTTGCTGGGGTGAGTGATGCCCTGTGGAATGGTGGAGCAGCATGCGGAAGAAAATACAGAGTGTCATGCATACGAGGTGCAAATCAAGCTCCAAAACCTTGCAGACAAGGTAGTGTCGTAGTCACAGTTGTCGATTATTGTAGAAGAGGATGTACTGGAGACATCAATCTTTCAAAAGATGCTTTCTCCCGAATTGCTGATCCCAATGCTGGCAAAGTTTTTGTTCAATACGACCGGTAAGTGTAACTCTAGCTACTTGCGGCTATACCATGCATAATAAGATAAAATCTGACTGTAACAGCAGCTAAAAACTAATTTATGATGATTTTTTTTCTTGGATTAATTTGCAGGGTTTGAAGCTTTGATTGTGGTAGAAAGCTATTTGAAGGCCAAGCTGATCATGTTATTGTTAAAAATAAAAAGGCACTCTATATATGTAACTTGTCTATTTTATGGATGATTTACAAGTACTTATGTAAAAGAAAATCAATCAATCAATCAAATGAGAATTATCAGGTGTTTCGCTTGAGATGGTACTGTAGCTGTTCAAATTCTGACAAAAATCTGCAACTAGTATGCGAAATTTATGAACTTAATATCAACTAGGATTTATTTTGTGCTAAATAAATAAATCATCTCAAAAACTTTTGTCACCGGAACTGAAAAGGAATGGGGTATGCGGCGAGTTGTAACAGTAGCATGACTTGTGTGTTGATCTTTAATCAGATATTATTAACCCCAAGATAAACAAAATTGTTGGTTCTTTTTTAAATATTTTGTTCGATGATATTTCCTCACCATTACCGTATCTACGATTGAAGGCTTGGCTGACCCAGAAACACACAAAATTCGTTTGGAATGGATATGAGATGCGAAATTTTTTCCTCAATGAGGATGGCCTTTCTCGCCCCGCCTCGTTTAAAGTAGAGATGGGGAGCAAAATTTCACCCCAAACAAGATACGAGACTAGGATAGCTATCCCTACCCTATTACTATCCATAGATTCATCTAAAACCGCCATTAATATTAATTTAATTTAGTTAGTGTGACATATTTTCATGTACTTAACTTGAATTGATTTTTAATTTTTTAAATTAAAAAATGATTTTAGAAAACCAAATTCTATTTTTGAAAATTCAAGAAACTTAAAAGAAAAGAAAATATTAAAAACAAAATTTATCCCTATGAAATAACATTAAAAAAAATAAGAAAAAAATTATCAGTAGAGGGATTTATTTGGATTTTTAAGTTTTTTTTTTAATAGTTTCAGTTAAGGCATTTATTTAAAAAAAAAAAAATAGGTAATAGCAAAAGATTGTTGACTCACTAGATATGCAACATGTGTCCCTATTAATTCAATTTGACTTTATTTTCAATTTCTAATTGCAGAAAATTCTTGAAAATTGAAATTTAATTTTTTAAACAGTATAGAATTTGAAAAAAAAAAAAGACATGAATATAAAATATTAAACATATATATAAAAAATCCGAGTGGATTTAAACTGAAGGTACTAACTGTAAACGAATTATATTGTAAAAGTATCTCATTATTCCCTTCCTTCGATAAACCCATGTCGCCATTCACACAGTAGAAAGTCTAACAACACACCTTTTGAAAATTTTCCAGTATAAAAAGACAAATTATGAGGTTGGTGTTTAGTCTAGCAACCTTTTTTGAAAAGGAGGCTGCCAATGGAATTGAGTCCTTGCAAAGTGGAGGAAGTGGGGAAGTGGGCTGCTATGAAGGTTCAAAAAGAAAAAAGTTGGGGAGAAAAAGGAAATCCACTCCATCAGTTTTTTTTTTTTTTTTTTTTTTAATGGTTCGAACCCAGCTCTCCATTATTGATATGAAGTTGGTCATATGGGGACTATTAAACATCCTTGATCTTTTTCCCTTCAATCATTTAACGCTTTTTTTTTAAGACTCAACTCTTAATTTTTAACTTCAAATCAAACACAATTAATGATTGGTGTTGTGAATTGGATTGTGTAAGATGTTTTTTTTTTTTTTTTAAGCCATAGTTATCCTTGAGTTAGTGTTTTTGCATATGAAATCTAAGTTTCTTTTTTATTGAATTTTAAGTACAAGTTCTACATCTGAACTGATGCGTTAATAAAAGTTTATTTTTCATGTAATATAGAATGTTGGATGAAAATTATGAAGAGATACTCACTTACTATCAAATTTAATTTTTATAAATCATAACTGAAATGTGATTTAAAATTGAGTCTTAATCATAGATAATTTTAAAAACCATGTAAAAATGAACATAATAAATCAATTCTTTTCTCTCTCTAGGATTTTGAAAGTCTCAATAGCATTTTCTTACAACTAAATCTGATGTTTGTTTTTTTTTTTTTTTAAAATGGTGTTTGTGTAATAACCCAAATTAAAAAAAAAAAAAAAAAAAAAAAGAAGAGCCTAGGTATAAAAGGAGGGGTAGCTGTTACCCCTCCATTTTTCTCCTTCTTTCTCCCTCTCTCACACATTTTCTTTTTAGAAATTTCCTCCCATTTCTCTCTTCAATTTCTAAGCTAAACTCTTGTTAAATTAGTTTAGAAAAACCTTAAACTAGTTGACTAAGTGGAGTTTAACTAGCTTGGAGCTTGGGAAGCTCGAAAAGCTAGGATTGATTTGAGATCCGAGAAGCTTAGTGTAAAGGTAAGAATTTTTTTATTTTTTTATTTTTTTATTTTTTTATTTTTTTTAAGGCTAGGTATAAAAGGAGGGGGCAGCTACTACCCCTCCACCTTTTCTTCTTCTTTCTCCCTCTTTTATGCATTTTCTTTTCGAAATTTCCTCTCATTTCTCTCTTCAATTAATAAGCTAAACTCTTGTTAAATTAGCTTAGAGAAACCTTAAACTAGTTGACTAATTAGAGTTTAGTTAGCTTGGAGCTTGGAAAACTTAGAGAGCTAGGATTGATTTGAGATTTGAGGAGCTTAGTTTAAAGGTAAGAATTTTGATTCATTGATTCCTAAATTGAGAAGTTTATATGTGATTAATGATGATATTGAACTATAATTGCTTTGGGTTTGTTAATCACTTAAGGAATTGATTAGATTAAGGCTAGGGTTTTAAGACCCATTTGGGGAAAAATAATTCTAAGCAATCATGATGGCTTGAATGATGTTTAATTATCTTGGGTAAGTGAAATAAGGAGTTAATTTAAAGTGGAATTGAGTAAATTTGAGAAATTGAGAGGTTGAAGATGATGAATAGTGATAAATCCGAATTTAGGTTTTAATTGAAAAGAATTTTGAAAAAAAGACAAGAAGAATTAAGTTATGAAAGTATAATTAAAGATGAATGGACTGATTACTTGGATGAATTAGAGTAGAACCGATCATTTAATCGAATTAAGGATTGATTTATTGAAGCTTGAATATTTAAGGAATGAGTAAAAGATTAGCAATGAAGTATGATTAGATGATTATTTAGAATCAATTGAGGGATTATAGGATTTATTTAGATTATCGAATTGAGTTTTTCCAATAAATTTTGTTTTTATTTGATAATCTTGCATTTCTAATTCTAGAATAATTCATTATTGAGATTATTCCTTGGTGTATAGTATTGATGGATGATTCATCATTTTATGATGCTAGATTCTTCGGAGTGGGTGACTCCATCCCAACGATCTTGATGCCCTTCGATTCTTCACGTGTACTCGTGAGTGGATATTATACGAGTATACTCGTATTTTAAATTTCTTGATTTGTTCATCATGCATCATTGTTTAAGAACGATTTAGAAGCATTCCATTAGAACGTAGATGGGAATGGACATCATAAATGTTGAAATATTTTCATATCGAATGATTTGGTATGAATCGAAATGGGTTTTGTTATGTGTTTTCAAACTTGAGCAAATGTGTTATAAATGTTATTTTAATTATCCGTATAATTTTTTAAAATGCCCGTATAGTATTTGAAATACCGATTTGAAAATGTATAAATATGTTTGTTTTCGAAAATGTTTTTGAGATCCCGAGGATCCTAACTATCCGGGGAAGCGTTTGAGCTTAATATATGAGACTCCATCTAGTAGGAAAGGTGTAGTGCTAGATTATGTGTCGACCAACATAAGAAAACCTAGTCGGAGGGAGCATGACCTTTAGGTGTTCACACCCAATGATAAGTTATTACTCCATTAGTGTATATAAGCCTATATATATGTTTTCGTATGAGTACGATATATGTATGTACAAATATTTTGACGATTTGACATAAAATGATTTTGAACCATTTGATTTGTGATACGAGATGTGTTTTGGATTTACATATGGTTTGAGAAAATAGCATAGCATGTTGAGATGAATTTGAAATTATCGTCTTTAGTTAATTTTTCTCTCTTAGTATATTATATAATGTCAACTCACCGAGCTATTAATTGCTCATCCCTCATTATTTCAATTTTATAGGATATTGAGGGATCGTTTATTGCTTCTTTTTAGTTACCTTTTATGAAGTCAACATTTTAGTCGTATGACTCATTTTTATATAAATTCTTTAGAACCTCTCGTATATTTTAAATTATAATCTTAGATACTTTATAGTTATAACTGTGGGTGTTGTGTTAGGATTAACTATGAATATTGATATCGGATATAGAAATATGAATTGTATTGAGGTTGTAAGAGATGTTTACTAAGTTATGGTAATGTTAATCGAAATGCTATTCGAGCGATATTGATTTGAGGACTATAGTATAAATCGATCATAAATTGAAATGATAATTGAGGTGATAATGATATATGATTTTAGTTAAGTATCCGATGCTTTCGTAAGTTTAGATAGGCCTTACGGTTTCCTCATTTCTCATGTCGATCATAGCCTACTCTTGAGGTTGTGACAAGTATTGGTATCAAAGCTTAAGTTTAGAGTTTAGGATAATTATAGAGCATAAGTTCTTTTTTAATTCATATTCTTGTCTTGAATTACATGGATAAATCAACGAGTATACAAAATAGTTTATGTTTGTTTGATAAGTTGTAAGGAATGGAAATGTATAAAGGAAAAATGTACGTGAAAAGAAGGTTTTGCATGGAACTTAGGTGTGGCAATTTTCCCTCCAAGCCATGGCAAAGCCCACTCGCCGTGTATCCATTTTCCCTTAAAATGAAATGTTGCATTAAAAAATACATATATACATAGCCAAGTGTCCACCTGTTCTTAAAATGGTACATATATTGTAATTATTGTGCATGGATGGTGTATTTAATTCAAGTCATATACATGATCGTGTATCATTCTTATTTAAACCGTGTGAAGTAGATTACGGCCATGTGCCTCTTTGTATTTTTGAATGAAAATTCTCTTGAAAAACCACACATGGTCCTATGGTAATTGCCATC